AATCCTGTTCCACTGCCTCTGGGTAAGTGTGGCATGTCTGCGGACCCATCGTAAACAATGGTGAGGTGAAATGGGATTTAACGTCGTACTTGTGAATATTGGCTCATATGACGACGTGCATGCGTGTGTATGTGTATGTGCGGCTGCTTGTACTAGCCCAGACTTAAGCTGGTTTTATAGTGCAAGACCACTGTGATACCATGCCGCAGTGAAGCATGAATACCCCACTCAGACACATTATACTGACTCCGAGCAGACCAGTCCTTGTTGTACCCATTAATGCCGAGCGCCAGGCAGGGACCAACAAGTACCCTATTTTAACGTATTTTGGTATGACGCGGTCGGGGATCGAACCCGCGACCTTCCGCTCTCCGGGCGGACGCTCTAACCACTACACCACGGAGGCGGTCGTATCATAATAAGGGTAGGTTAGGTAGTTTATAGGTGGGGCTGCTCGTATGTATCATCTATTAAAAACAGCCCCATATAATTTGTATCAGGATCGGATAAATATGCAGTAGGGATCACCATGTAGGAACGTACACACGAATTGATTTTTAAAGCACCATAGTGAGTGAGTTTAGTTTTACGCCGTTTTCAGCAATATTCCAGCAATATCTCGGCGGGGGACACCAGAAATGGGCTGCACATATTGAACCCATGTGGGAATCGAACCCGGGTCTTTGGCGTTACGAGCGAACGCTTTAACCACTAGGCTACCCCACCGCCCCTAAAGCACCATAGAAGGAACAACTAATTAAAGCTTTCACTAACTTACCAAACCAGTGTTTCTTGTAAACAAATGGCTTCGAAATGTTAGGAACTCTGCAATAAATGGGCGGTTTATTGCAGCATTACATGTAATTGCTGTTTCTAAAATTATTTAAAACTACAAATATTGCTGAAACTTGGGCCAAACAATTAGTATCGTGATGTACCGCGTTGTAATTACCAGAGAGAGAAACGTAAATATATCTTAATTGCCATTAAATATATATAAAGCTTTTAATATATATTATATTTTCGAAACCTTACACGGCTAACAATGTCCATATTTAATAAGCAGACAGCTGCGTATAATAATATTTTTATTAAGATAAACACTTTACTAGTGTCTGCGTGTCCTTTCAATTGTATATATACTCATGGCAATAATGGTTGTCATCCCTTCAATTTTTAATTGGAGGGTGTGTGAAGTGGGGGTGTGGGTGTGTGTGGTGTTGGGGTGGGGAGGGGTGACAACCATTATTGAGTATATGAGGCGACATCGCGTACTGGTGTTCTGCGGAGTGCATATCTCAGCTGTAGTCTGTTTGCAGTGAAAACGTACCGATGAATTTCACTCTAAGCAAAACATTAAATTGAATAAAGTGAAATTAAGATTGCGAATCCTCATAATTTTACCTTGCCAATTGAACATTCAAATCTCAGAATTTTATTCAAGTTAGGATAAAAGTTGTTTAACAAACGATCATAGTTTCAAATCGCTGTTATTGGTTTGTATTACAAGGGGGTATGCACATTAAATGAAACATTGAGAACAAGTAGGGTTGGTCTAAGTTAACGCTCATCACGTACCGCACGTGCATTTGTTTCACTGTTCCATCTACTGCGCTTACCCCCTTGTAATACAAACAAAAAACAAATGTTCATTTGGCAAGGTAAAATTATGAGGATTCGCAATCTTAATTTCACTGAATTTGATTTACTGTTTTGTTTAAAGTGAAATTCATCGGTACGTTTGCACTGCAAACAGACTATATCTGTGGAGTGAGTATCTCATAGGGGCTTCTACAAGACTAGTCTGTCTTTGCTGCGGGTCCTCGGGTCGCCTTGTCAGAGCCAGCATGATGTATTATGGTATTAATAGATTTGACTTATATATGACTGCCTGACTGTGTTTGACTCCACTCCTGGAACTCGGAACAGATCGTTGCATTCTTTATCAGTCGTGACATTTCTCGACGCCATTTCATGAACTTGGTTCCGTCTTTGCGCAAACGGGCATAGTGGTGAAAGCTGTCAGCTTGCAAATTCATGTATTCTGACACACTCCGGCGCAGTGATGACTTAGCATAACATCACTGCCACAGGCTAATTTGCATATCACGTGACCGAACTTTTCTCTTGTTTGTAAACAAACGCGCATATTCATAATAAGAAGAGACTGGCCTTACGCAAGCTTTTCGGCGCGCTCTTCACAATATTTTACATTGTTACATGTATATTCTTCCACAACTACGGCAGTAAGATTTATGACGGTACATATTTTAGATATCAAACTGGATGCATCGTTTGCCCTTCGTCGGCTTCGATGACAGCACGTGGAGCCGTACAACCTATGTAAACAAAGGATCGCTACGCAAATCGAAATAGTGTTACAAGTTTTAGGATATTTTCTCAGTGAAACTAAACCATTTTATCAAATATGTTTAATTAGATGCATACACTCGTCAAAAATAAAAGAGTTAAGAAATATATACATTATATTATAATAGACGAATCGTCACATCTTTCTGGCCAGTGGCAGAGGTACTATGCTGGTTTGCCGCATGGAACTCTGGGTAGGAGAGTGTTCATTCATTCTACAACTTAAATGCATTGTGGGAATGTAAACATTGCGAACGTTGGAGTCGAACTGAGACATTATATGCGTCGAAAAACATAAACGCAAAGTTTCCACCAGTGATGTCACTGCACCGAGTGAAGCAACTGCAAACTAAGAACGGGGTGCCACGGAGTAGTTACTATAGGAGACTGTACGGGGGCGGGGAGGGGGAGGGAGAGACGAGCAAGGTTTAGTGACGTCATTACAGTGTCACTTCATGCAAACCGGATTCGTTTTGAAACCATAAAAATAACAAAAGGGTAACAATTTAAAGCATGTAAGGGTAATAAATAAAATACCACACTCGGTCTCATAACATACGAATTATACGAAACTCGTGACCTTCCTATGGTTTCTGACCGCGCTTTCGCTCGGTCAGATACCATAGGAAAGACACTCGTTTCGTATAATTCGTATGTTATGAGACCGAGTGTAGTATTCTCTATGTATCGTGACTGCATGGGCTGTAATATTCTCTTAGACAAATGTAGGGAAGCATTCATCGACCAAATTACCAGTAGTCTTGTAAGCGCATTCTGATTGGTAGTTGTGTTCCCGACATAGGGAAAGTGGAAAGGGGCGTTGGTTGACGTCACTTATGAATATGGAAATATCTTTTCGTTTATTTAATAATATTAAGGTGACTACTCCCAAAATCTTTGAGTGAGTATAGTTTTGCGCCGCTTTTAGCATTATTTAAACAATATCCCCGCGGGGGACACCTGAAATGTGCTTCACTCATTGCACCATGTGAGGAATCGAACCCGGGTCTTCGGCGTGACGAGCGAACGCTTTTACCACTAGGTACCCCACTCTTACAATATAACAACCCAAGTTGATTAAGGTCATTTAACATCTGCTAGCTATGTTTACTTATGTAAAGTTCATAGCGTATGTCAATCTTGCAGTACATAATTCGGAAGGCTATTTGTCTAAGGGTTAAATTATTTCCTCACCAGGGCCTAGATTTTCGAAGCTCTCTTAGCGCTAAGATAGTCGTAAGTGCCATACATTAACGTTAACTTACGACTATCTTAGCGCTAAGATAGTCGTAAGTGCCATACATTAACATTAACTTACGACTATCTTAGCGCTAAGATAGACGTAAGTGCCATACATTAACATTAACTTACGTCTATCTTAGCGCTAAGATAGTCGTAAGTGCCATACATTAACATTAACTTACGACTATCTTAGCGCTAAGATAGTCGTAAGTGCCATACATTAACATTAACTTACGACTATCTCAGCGCTAAGGTAGTCGTAAGTGCCATACATTAACATTAACTTACGACTGTCTTAGCGCCAAGATAGTCGTAAGTGCCATACATTAACATTAACTTACGACTATCTCAGCGCTAAGATAGTCGTAAGTGCCATATATTAACATTAACTTACGACTATCTCAGCGCTAAGATTGTCGTAAGTGCCATGCATTAACATTAACTTACGACTATCTCAGCGCTAAGATAGTCGTAAGTGCCATACATTAACATTAACTTACGACTATCTTAGCGCCAAGAGAGCTTCGAAAATCTAGGCCCAGGAGGTCTGGGTTCGATTCCCAAGTTAGTAAGATGTCTAAACCCATTCTGCTTAATTTCCTGCTAAAGCTTATAAACATACTTTTTTCGTCGCCTGAATCGCTTATTCGCATTTTCACGGATAATAAAAGAACGTACATGCTCACGAACTGTTGACGCCGGTCTGCTTCACGTGTGAGTGAGTGAGTGAATTTAGTTTTAGCCGCACTCAGCCATATTCCAGCTATATGGCGGCGGTCTGTAGATAATCGAGTCTGGACCAGACAATCCAGTGATCAGCATCATGATCATCTATCTGCGCAATTGGGAACCAATGACATGTGTCAACCAACCCAAGCCTGAAGGGTTCATTCTAACCCGGACCTTCACGAGTGATAGCAGAGCAAACTATGCTACTCAAAAGATGTTAAGGAACATCAAGTTCTTTATGGTGAGCGATACTTATATGAAATAATCGGATGTTCATTATCTCCTTTTGAGAAGGATATGAAGCTGGTTGTAAACTTCGCCGTTTTGAGGAACCAAAGAAACGAAGAACCAGCGGGATTCGAACCCCCGAATTCGCGTTCGACTGAGGGGCAGCTTAACTGCATCGGTTTACTCAAATTGCACAGCGATGACTTTCATGCCTGTGAAATGTATATATATGTATATCGATGTTTGTATTGTCATTCATTCATTCATTCATTCATTCATTTATTTATTTGTTTTGTTTATTTATTTCAGGAGTTTACTTCCGATATTAACCATTTATTTATTCCTTCCTTCTTTCCTTCCTTCCTTCCTTCCTTCATTCATTCCTTCATTCATTCATTTATTTATTTATTTATTTATTTACATTGTTTCAGGTGATGGCGTTCTCTTCCGATATTGACCGAGGATGGGCGTGGCTGGTAGTGGCGTCCTCTTTTATAATCCACACCTTGACGTACGGCGTGGCGTGGTCCACAGGTGTCTACAACACCATCTTCATCGACGCCTTCGGTGACAGCAAATCTGTGACTGCGTGGGCTGGGTCGTTGACGTCCGCCTCGATGTATGCAGCAGGTACGACGTCAATCACATCGGAAGCATCGTCGTATTATCTTAACAACAGCCTGTTGGACTGATCTGATATTCGTCCACTAACGTCCACAAATTCGTCTTGTAAATCAAGACATGTCTGAGATAGATTACATGATGATGGTACTTTTATGTCAAACATGCGTTATGCAGTAGAGAAATCGTGAAGTTCCGGAGATTCCAAAAGTAGAGCCTCCAAAAAAAGCGAATTGATTCGACATCCGGAACCAACAGGTTCGAGTGACTTGTTTGAGTGGCATTTTAGAAGTTGAGACGTACAATATAGAACCATTTTTTATGGATAACGACTTCTTTATTTCGTGAGTGCGACGTTTCGATACAGATTCTTGTACCGTTGTCAAGCATGTACCGCTGTCAAGCAGGTACCGTTGTCAAGTATGTACCGTTGTCAAGCAGGAACGGTTTTTCAGCTTGACAACCGAAATAAAGAAGTTGTTATCCATAAAAAAATGTTCTATATTATAAGGTTCGAGTGATTTCTCCAACACAAACCATGTTATGGTTGCCCAATAACTCCTCTTTAATTCTTGCACAATGACCCCAACTTACTTCATTTTTATTTGTTAAAATGCATGTGCAGAATGGCCAGTAACGCCATGGCTCAGAATCAAACTCAACATCGATAGCGTGACGTCATCCTATTGATTAAATATCTTGAGACAGTAAGTGTTATTGGCAGGCAGTAATACATTCCGATGAGGCCCTTGGTGAAATGACAATATTTCTTCATTAACTTTTCCAGATCTATGCTCTGCTAACCAACCTTACATGGTACGTGATAGTCACCCGCCTTACGTCATCTAATTACGTCATCGTCATCTGACGTCATGGTATCTTGAACTTTATGCTTTAATTTGTATCAACATGTTTGTTAGCTAAGGGTTATTAGGATGTACAAACGGTGTTATTCTTGATGTACTATTATTTACGTAATTATAGCGATGATTCAAATATTGAATTTGATTTTTTCAGCCGACCTCTTGCAGACGAGCGGGGAAACAATCTTTTGCCCTTAAGCAAAGGTGGTTTCCTAATTAAGAGTGAGACACTCTCTCATCCGTTCTCCTCTCTGTCTTCTTTGCAGGGACAGCTGGATAAGAAAACATTCATCATGGTCACGCAGATCTTCTTCAGATGAACCAGCCAATCAGAAATAAGCTTCGGGGTATATGACCAATCAGAAAGCCTCTTACAGATATGGTTTAGAAACCCAGACTCCGTGAAAGACGAGTCTGACGTGATAGGTGAAGTGGCACTTTTCCTCACACATAACATGAAAAGCTGGACAGGATGTCTTGTAGCCCGGAAAGTCAGGCCTCTCGATCCGTTGTGTTTCAGGTCCTCTCGCTAGCGTTCTCACCAACAAGTTCGGGTGTCGCCCGATTGTGATGGTGGGAGGGGCTCTAAGCGCCGGGGGCCTCATGCTGAGCTTCTTTGCTCCTAACATCTACTACCTCTACTTCTCGTTCGGGATCATGACTGGTAGGTTCAGGTGTACACAATGTAGTGATTACTTCATTTTTTACATCTCTTTGTTTTAATCTGTTTCAATAGCTCCATTCCTTTGCACCATCAACGAAGATAATAAGCAAAATCCTTCATCCTAATTGAGCCGTGTCTTTCATGGCTTATGTGAATTAAAACACAAGGATTCTACCCACTGTAGAACGTTTACAGCAAAGGTTTTTGTACTTTTCTCTTCATTGCACCAGAATACAAACGCGGTTCAGAGATTCAGGACAAATTGCTTCATCATAATTACCCTATGTCTTTGGTGGCTCTTGTAAACACGTCTTTAATACGTCTTACCAACAGCAGAAAGTTTACTTCAAAGGTTTTAGTTTTGTACGCTGGTTCATCCCACCATAATCCACGTTTCAGAGATTTGTGTACGCTTGTCTTCATTTCACCGTAATGCATGCTAGGTTAAGAGGTTCCTTTACGCTTATATTCATTTCACAGTAGGTTAAGAGTTTCTTTTACGCTAAGACAACCACCACTCACATCCGACCACCATACAATAACACACACTAACACACACACCATACGTACAAACACAACCAATACTCACACCCGACCACCATACAATAACACAGACACTAACACACACACGATATGTACAAACACAACCACCACTCACACCCAACCACCATACAATAACACACACACTAACACACACACGATACGTACAAAGACAACCACCACTCACACCCGACCACCTTACAATAACACACACACAAACACTTACACACACGATACGTACGAACAGGACCAGCACTCACACCCGACCACCATACAATAACACACACACACACACACACACACACACACACACACACACACACACACACACACACACACACACACACTATACGTACAAAGGCAACCACAACTCACACCCGACCACCATGCAATAACACACACACTAACACACACACGATACGTACAAAGACAACCACCACTCACACCCGACCACCATACAATAACACACACACTAACACACACACGATACGTACAAACACAACCACCACTCACACCCGACCACCATACAATAACACACACACACTTACACACACACACACCGTTTGGGAAAAGTATATTGTCAGTATATCCTTTCGTAATAAGGAAAAGATTACAAGTCCCCTGGAAGACCGTCCTTGTACATTTATCCCAGAGGTCGTGCCTCTTCTGTTTCATTCTCCCGTTGTATTGTTAACTTAGGGGCTATGGATTCATGCAGCGTGACAACGTTTTCTGTTTTCTGTCCATAAATATAGTGAACTCAACGATCATGTAGCGTCGCCTTGCTACATAAGACTGTTGTCTGTTTGATGAACACCTTGTACAGCAAGAACAAGGGTGTCTTCTGTTTGATGAACACCTTGTACAGTAAGATCAAGGGTGTCTTCTGTTTGATGAACACCTTGTACAGTAAGATCAAGGGTGTCTTCTGTTTGATGAACACCGTGTACAGTATGATCAAGGGTGTCTTCTGTTTGATGAACACCTTTTTCAGTAAGATCAAGGGTGTCTTCTGTTTGTCATCGACACCTACTCCAGTTTACCCAATAGTTGATGCAACAAACCCAGGTGTACTGTTTCATAGGCACCCTATTAAGTTAACCCAAGGGCTCCCGCAACAAATCTAGGTCTTCTGTTTCATAAACATCTTATATAGTTTACCCAAGTGTTAATGCAACAAAAATATGACTACTGTTTCATAGACACCCTATAAAGTTTACATAAGGGGTAATGCAACAAAAATATGACTACTGTTTCATAGACACCCTATGACTACTGTACTGTTTCATAGACACCTAATAAAGTTTACGCAAGGGCTAATGCAACAAAAATATGACTACTGCTTCATAGGCACCTTGTAAAGTTTACCCAAGGGGTAATGCAACAAATAATTGTGTATAGACACCTTATAAAGTTTACCGAAGGGGTAATGCAACAGAAATATGATTACTGTTTCATAGACACCCTATAAAGTTAACCGAAGAGGTAATGCAACAAAAATATGACTACTGTTTCATAGACACCCTATAAAGTTTACCCAAGGGATAATGCAACAAAAATATGAGTACTGCTTCATAGACACCCTATAAAGTTTACCCAAGGGTTCATGCAACAAACATATGATTACTGTTTCATAGGCACCTTGTAAAGTTTACCCAAGGGGTAATGCAACAAATAATTGTGTATAGACACCCTATAAAGTTTACCCAAGGGGTCATGCAACAAACATATGATTACTGTTTCATAGGCACCTTATAAAGTTTACCCAAGGGGTAATGCAACAAATAATTGTGTATAGACACCCTATAAAGTTTACCCAAGGGCTAATGCAACAAAACCAGGTGTACTGTTTCTTGAACTCACTGTAGGGTCAAAGCAACGAAACATAAACACCACCTGAGAGCTAAGTAATATGTTTATAAGTAGATATATATTATCAATAGGTACATGTGGTGCATTTGGATATTACCATATTACCTTCTGCTGGGGATTAATGAATCCCCAAGCTATTTAAACATATCATCCATGCGAGTCGAGATGTAAATATGTCAATAATGGGCGTTTGTCACGCTACGTTTCATACACAACACTTAATAATACATAGCCCGAGTCGCCTTGGTGGCAAGGCAGTGGTAATGGCTGTTCGATATGGCTTTTGTGTTGGGTGTAAATGCTGTGAATTGGGCAGGGGTTAACTGCTGGAGACTGTATAATGGGATGTGTTCTAACCTCCTTGGTGTTTATGTAGGTGTGTAGTGACATTGTTCACCTTCCAGCGGAGTCACCTATACATCACACACGATTTATTGGCGAGATAATAATACCAGTTTTATGTACACAGGATCAGAGAGCTGACGACAGCCTGTAGTTTCGAGATTTTAGGCTTGGGTGGGCATCCACGGGGAGGGAATACACAGAGATGAGAATAGTCTGTCTCACAGTCCTGAACTACATTATTTCTCCTTCCTCCAAGGGGCGATGGGGTAGCCTAATGGTTAAAGCGTTGGCTCGTCACGCCGAAGACCCGGGTTCGAATCCCCACATGGGCACAATGTGTGAAGCCCATTTCTGGTGTCCCCCGCCGTGATGTTGCTGGAATATTGCTAAAAGCGGCGTAAAACCAAACTCAGTCAGTCAGTCCTTCCTCCAAGCCCTTTCTGCAATGCTAAATGCTAAATAAAACAAGTCTAGATATCCTCACGTTCTGAATCTCCCATCGCACTGGGTCTCCTTTGTAATTTAAGATGAATTATTTTCTCTATGAAAATTATTTACTCATGGAAACGAATAAGGGAACACATGAAAGTACAAGCGTTCCTTTATTGTTTTCCAGGTTTCTTCACAAGCTTTGTATTGCACTGTGGGTGAAATTCTGGAAATACATAAAGGAACACTTGTACTTTCATGTGTTCCCTTATTCTTTTCCATGAGTAAATAATTTTCATAGAGAAAATAATTCATCTTAAATATAGAAAGGAGACCCTTTCCGTGAGTATATATATATATATATATTAGAGACGAAGCGTTTGTCTTAGATGGGAAGATGACGAGGGAGATTGGGTTGGAGTGGAGAGAAGGAAGGAGGAAGACGGTTGGAGAGGACGAAATGAGGGTGAACAAGGTGACCGAAATTCCGCCCAAAGCTATGTTACACGTAACTCACTCACTCAATGTCTGCTGAGACGAGTCTGAATATTTATCTTGACTGTAAACAAGGACTGAAGACATTGACTCTGTCAAGAAGCACAGTGGTGATATATGTCAGTATATATGGAATAGTAAAGTAGGTTGTATATAGCACGTGCTGTGTTAGTGATTGTAAGTTTTTGAGCTTGAGAAACTATTTCCATGTGTGCTGCATACCGCAGTGTTCTTGGTGGGAGTGCGGAGTCCTTGTAGTATACATATATAGGTCATCATGGGGGGGCATGTCAACCACACGGGACACTGGCACGATTTGTTGGCTGGTTGGTTGGTTGGCTGACTGACTGACTTATTGGTTGGTTATTTATTTATTTGTTTGGTTGACTTGATGCTTTGTTGGTTGTTTATCTGGCTGGTTACATGGTTAGTTGTCTCTTTAGTTGTCTAATTGGTTATTCGATTAGTTGATTGATTGATTGATTGATTGGTTTGTTGGTGGATGGATGGACGGATGGATGGATTGATGGGTGGGTGGGTGTCTGGATGGACAGTCGATCGGTCGGTTTAGATGGATGGATGGATGGTCGGTCGGTTTGGATGGATGGTTGGATGGACGGTCGATCGGTCGGTCGGTTTAGATGGATGGATGGATGGTCGGTGAGTTTAGATAGATAGATGGGTGGTCGGTCGGTCGGTTTAGATGGATGGTTGGATGGACGGTCGATCGGTCGGTCGGCTTAGATGGATGGTCGGTGAGTTTAGATAGATAGATGGGTGGTCGGTCGGTTTAGATGGATGGTTGGATGGACGGTCGATCAGATAGATCGGTCGGTTTAGATGGATGGATGGATGGTCGGTGAGTTTAGATAGATAGATGGGTGGTCGGTCGGTTTAGATGGATGGTTGGATGGACGGTGAGTTTAGATAGATAGATGGGTGGTCGGTCGGTTTAGATGAAGGATGGTCGGTGAGTTTAGATAGATAGATGGGTGGTCGGTCGGTTTAGATGGATGGATGGATGGGATTCTGGTACTCCGTAATGCGATACGTACGCATACTGTGATTCAGGAAAATCTGTAATGTATACGTATTGCGATATACTGTATCTAGGTACCCGTAAAAATGCGATACGTACAAAATAGTATTGTGATTCAGGTACCCGTAATGCGATACGTATTGCGATATATTGTGATCTCTTGTACCCGTATTGGCGATTACCGTATTTGGCGGATATATTGTGATTCAAAAGGTGCCCGTACAGTGATACGTATTGCGATATATTGTGATTCAGGTACCTGTAATGCGATACGTATTGC